TCGTCCCTCATCAAAGGACTTAAGCCCAAAAAATCTCCGGGCGCGGATGGCATATCCAACCAAGCCCTTAAATACTTTCCAGAGCAGGTGTTAACCCTCTTAGCTATTATCTTTAACGCCTGTTTTAATCTTAGTTACTTTCCCACTTCTTGGAAAGAGGCAATTGTCATTGGTATTCCCAAGCCAGGCAAGCCTCTTAACCTCCCCTCCAGTCATCGTCCCATTAGCCTCCTAAAGGCCATGGGCAAACTCTTTGAAAGAGTCATTCAAAATCGAATGAGGCGCCATCTGTTTCCCACAGACGGTGACCCCATTGTCATCCCACACCAATTCGGTTTCCGCGCAAAACACTCGTGTCCACAACAGGTACACCGCATTGTGGAATATATCCTCAGCGGTTTTTATCCACGTCGACTAAAGACAATCGCGGTCTTTTTCGACATTGCCAAAGCCTTCGACCGAGTCTGGCATGAAGGCCTTATTTTCAAATTATATAGGATAGGACTCTCCGATCGTCTAGTACGTCTCGTAGCCTCTTATTTACAACATCGTACCTTTCGTTTTAGACACGAAGGCACGTTATCCTCTCAGCGCCCCATTAAAGCTGGTGTTCCTCAAGGATCAGTACTAGCTCCCCTCCTGTATATCTTGTACACCAACGACATTCCTATCCCGTCGAATGGTGTACAGCTCTCACTCTTCGCAGATGACACTGCACTATACTTCAAAAGTCCTAGAATATCTTCAGCAAGGAACAAGATCCAAAAGTCAGTCGATGACCTAGGAGACTGGTTCCAAAAATGGCGTATCGATGTGAACCCGGAGAAGAGCTCCGCAGTTCAATTCGATATTAAAAGACGCCGTAATAAAAACAAGAAAAATACTCCACCTATACGAATGCTAGGGACCCCTGTCCCATGGCACATGTCAGCAAAATATTTAGGCGTCACCCTTGACTATAGGCTTACTTTTGAGTCTCATGTCAAAAGAGTAACGCGTCTAGCACGTTTCTATTTAGGTCGGCTTAACAGTATGTTAGGCAGACATAGCAAAATGTCATTACGAAATAAGCGAACCCTCTATAAGGTTTGTATACGACCGGTTATGACTTACTCGGCTCCTATTTTTGCACACGCTAACGATAAAATTATTAACGAACTCCAAGTAGTTCAAAACCTCTTCTGTCGTCGAGCTACGAACGCACCTTGGTACGTCCGTAATGCCGACCTTCACCGGGATTTAGAAATCCCAACAATCCAGCAATGTCTTAAAAAATTCTCTGAAAACTTCTTTAAAGTATCAGAGTCGCATACTAACACACTTATTCGTGAGGCAGTTACTTATACCGCCCCACTCCCTTCTCGCTATAGCGTCCGCAGGCCGAGAAACACTCTCTCGGAACCGCCAAATAAGTTGTCAAACGACCTGAACTGCCTCCTGGCGGCTCAGGCCAATCCTAATTAAATTAAAAATTAGTTAAAATTAATAATATGCCTTCGTAGGCAGTCCCTAAACGGCACTTAGCCGTCTGCGCCCTCTTTTCCCAAAAGAGGGTCGCTTTAGATACGGCATATGCAGCTTTAATAGAGCTAGTTGCCAGTCCCCAAAGGCGGTTTTTAGTGGGTATCACTTAGGTCCCCCGGTAGGCAGTGAGTCCCACATAACCAGGACAGACCGGCTGTCGTGGTATGCATAATGCATTTTCCGCCTCCCTCAGTGGTAGCCCTTTTCCAATTGCTTCGGGCGCAAAAAAAAAAAAAAAAAAAACGTCGAGAAAAGACAATCGCTGTCTTTTTCGACATTGCCAAAGCCTTCGACCGAGTCTGGCACGAAGGCCTCATATTTAAATTATATAAAATAGGACTCTCCGATCGTCTAGTACGTCTCGTGGCCTCTTATTTACAACATCGTACCTTTCGTTTTAGATACGAAGGCACGTTATCCCCTCCGCGCCCCATTAAAGCTGGTGTTCCTCAGGGATCGGTACTAGCTCCCCTCCTGTACATCTTGTACACCAACGACGTTCCAATCCCGTCGAACGGTGTACAACTATCACTCTTCGCAGATGACACTGCACTCTACTTTAAAAGTAGATTATCATCTCACGCTAGAAACAAACTCCAAAAGTCAGTCGATGACCTAGGAGATTGGTTCCAAAAATGGCGCATCGATGTGAACCCGGAGAAGAGCTCCGCGGTTCAATTCGACTTTAAACGACGCCGTCATAAAATCAATAAAAATATTCCTCAGATACGCATGTTAAGGACTCCTGTCCCGTGGCATACGTCAACTAAATATCTAGGTGTCACCCTTGACTATAGGCTCACTTTCGAGCCTCATGTCAAAAGAGTAACACAATTAGCTCGCTTTTACCTAGGTAGGTTAAATAGCATGTTAGGCCGACATAGTAAAATGTCTTTAAGAAATAAGCGAACACTTTATAAGGTTTGTATACGTCCCGTAATGACTTACGCGGCCCCGGTATTTGCACAAGCAGATAATAAAATAATTAACGAACTACAAGTAGTTCAAAACTTATTCTGTCGTCGAGCTACGAACGCACCTTGGTACGTCCGTAATGCCGATCTTCACCGGGATTTAGAAATCCCAACAATTCAACAATACACTAAAACTCTCTCTGAAAACTTTTTTAAAGTTTCAGAGTCGCACAACAACTCATTAATTCGTGAGGCAGTAACTTATACCGCCCCACTCCCCTCTTGCCATAGTATCCGCAGGCCGAGAAATACTCTCTCGGACCAGCCAAATAAACTCTCAAGTGACCTGAACTGCCTTTTGGCGGCTCAGGCCAATTCTAATTAAATTAAAAATTATTTAAAATAAATATGCCTTCGTAGGCAGTCCCTAAACGGCACTTAGCCGTCTGCGCCCTCTTTTCCCAAAAGAGGGTCGCTTTACGATACGGCATGTGAAGCTTTCAACAGCTAGTTGCCAGTCCCCAAAGGCGGTTTTTAGTGGGTATCACTTAGGTCCCCCCGGTAGGCTGTGAGTCCCACATAACCACGATGGATAGCCATCGTGGTATGCGTAATGCATTTTCCGCCTCCCGTAAAGGGTAGCCCTTTTCCAAATTGCTTCGGGCGCAAAAAAAAAAAAAAAAAAAAAAAATATACAATATTATGATATTTGCATTATAGAGAACCCTCGAGGTCTTAATTTCATATGAAATCACTAATATCTTGCTCAAAATATACTCCTTGTAATAAAAATATCGTTTGTGTCTTAAATTGTAGGTTATAATTATATCTAATAGTTATTAAGCTCTCATAGGCGCGTATTATAGCAGATTTCTAGTTATTAAGTAGACTATTCTAAATTTATTTTACGTAATTTCAAATAAGATCCCTTTATTATTATTATTATTATTTTTTATTTTTTTTCGTATCCTTTTATGTATTAGTTGTATGTAAGTATTTTAAAATTGTACATTTGCATGCGAGGTATATCTATAAAAGAATAAATACTCTTAGCGTAGCGGACGAACGAGCGAAATGTAGGGTGACGTTATTATGAGAAACGGATAGTAATACGATATATTTTGTGGCCCTGAAAAGGGCCTTTGAAATACACCTAAAACACACACCAATCACCGACCTTACTTGGAGCTGGTGTATTTGGTGACTGCCTTGGTGCCCTCTGACACGGCGTGCTTGGCGAGTTCACCGGGCAACAGCAGTCTCACGGAGGTCTGCACTTCCCGTGAAGTAATAGTCGAACGCTTGTTGTAATGAGCCAAGCGCGAGGCCTCTGCGGCTATGCGTTCGAAGATGTCGTTAACGAAAGAGTTCATTATGGACATCGCTTTACTGGATATACCAGTATCGGGATGCACCTGCTTGAGCACCTTGTAGATGTAGATGGCGTAACTCTCCTTCCTCTTGTGCTTCTTCTTCTTCTTATCCGACTTCGAGATGTTTTTCTGTGCCTTACCAGACTTCTTGGCGGCTTTACCACTAGTTTTCGGCGGCATCTTGAAGAATATTTAATGTAAATGTGATCACGGATAATACTAAATTATCACTGAACAACACAAAATTTTTTTTTTCTTATATAACGACTATCACGGTGACTCTACTAGCTAGTGGTCTAACGAGCGTATCGAGTGTAGATCAACCAATCAACGACCAGTTTGCCCGGACAAATGGAAGGGGTAGGGTAGAGAGTAGGGGATACGGGCGGAAGATTAGTTTAGAAAGAACGCAAATTTTATTTTATTAAACATTCCAATATAAGTAATATATAATTATACTAATACCCAATTATTTTAATAAAATAAATCATTATCGAATATTTTATAATAATAAAATAACTACTGATAATGTTTTAATAATGCATGTAAATTTATAATTAACATAATACATTGAGTCCATTTATCGCGGCGAGGCAATCCTCTAATCCATCTAAAGCCAACGGCAACGGTGAAGTTCATAAGAGATTTTTACTACATAATATGTTGAACGGTAAGTATTTATATATGTTTCTCTTAAAAAAAAAAAAAAAATATTTTTTTTTTTTTTTTTTTTTACCTTTTAGTCTATTGATTATTATTAATTCATAATAAATATGGCTTTCGTCTTATCGTTACCATTACCAATAGAAAGTAATAGCGTACAAAAAGGAATAAGGTATAGTATAGGAGGAACTGAGGAAAGAGGCTTTAAAGAACGTTCGCATTCTAAGAGACTAAATTTATAAATTATCGATAGTATTTGTGGCCCTCAAAAGGGCCTTTTAATCACGTACCAACCACCACGAACGGTAGATAACAATAGAGCAGTAGAGACACGAGTCGACGGACGGCGAATGCACCATTATTATACTAAAGAGCGTAAAACAGAATATGCAATACGTATATAGTACAATTAGGGCATTACCGATCGATAAAACGTCGACGCATACTCTCGTCTAAAGTTCTCAACCATTTTCTTGGGCCTAGTGGTGTGGTGTAGTAATGCGACGGGAGTAGTGTACACACTCGTTTAGGCCTTCTTCTCGGTCTTCTTGGGAAGAAGGACCGCCTGAATGTTGGGTAGTACACCGCCCTGGGCGATCGTCACACCGGAGAGGAGCTTGTTCAACTCTTCATCGTTGCGGATGGCAAGCTGAAGATGTCTCGGTATGATTCTGGTCTTCTTATTGTCCCGAGCAGCGTTACCGGCCAACTCTAGAACTTCAGCGGCGAGGTACTCCATGACTGCGGCCAGGTACACCGGAGCGCCGGCACCCACACGCTCTGCATAATTTCCCTTTCGCAGCAGCCTGTGAATACGTCCAACGGGGAATTGTAGACCGGCACGATTCGAACGGGACTTTGCCTTTCCCTTCACTTTACCGCCTTTACCACGTCCAGACATTGTCGTTAATACGTAATAATAAAATTCTAGAAATGTAGAAAATTAAACACTCGTCTCTATATAGACGACGTCAACACCGATATAAACTAATTTTTTTAACTATTTTCTGTGATGTTAACGCTGTTAACCTATGCGGTTCTTACAGCTTCATCGGACGCAGGGCTCGCGGCCTGAAAGGCCGCGAGCTATTTAAAAGTGGAAAGGCGGTAGCTGGGATAAGGATGAGGATGATGATGGTTTGTGATTTGGTATTGTTACCAATCATCATGTCCCCTCCGTAGAGGTTTATTTTGAGCTATCTAACCGCAGTCCGAGGGGGGGAATGCGAACCCCTGCCTCTGACTGCTTAGCTCGTATCGGTCGATGTTCTGGGCGGTGAGAACCGCCCAGGCACGCGGGTGTACGGTGTGTACGCGGTGTGTGTTGGAACGCGTCGAGCCCGCCTACGGGTGCGACGCGCCCCTTCCGTTGTCCTATTAGTGTTTGTCCCAATTGGTGTGGGTGTAGTGTCAGTGTGTGATGTGCCTGCGACGTTTGGGTCGACGGGATCGAGCGAGCGCGGTTGCTCTATTAATACATTACGCGGTCTACGGAGAAACGGCGCGACGTTCGGTATCGGGACGTAGTTGGCTGCGTTTACCACTAGGGGGTTCGGATGAGCTTCGGCGCTGTCAAAGTAGCGCTGGGACATCTCCTTAAAGTATTCGGAGATACAGGGGAGTTGACAATCGCTGTGTAAATCAGAGTTCCGTTGATACCACCGTGCACCGGTGGCTTTACGGATGAAAAGGTTTTGAACTTTCTGTAGTTCGTTTAGGTGGGACTTATATGTGTGTGCAAAGGCTACACTTGCGTAAGACATGATAGGTCTAACGCAGGATTTGTACAAATGGAGTTTGTGCCTTAGAGACAGCTTACTCTTGCTGTTCACAAGAGGATGGAGACGGCCAATAACTGACTTGGCTTTGTTGCGAACAATACTAATGTGTTTCGCGAAACTCATGTTGGCGTCAAACGTAACGCCCAGATATTTGGCCGAGGATTCCCATGGGATGGGGCGGCCGTATAAGGTAATTACCTTCATACGTTTTCTTGGTCCATTACCGGACTGTTTTGGATTCCGTTGAAAGTATATTGCTACACTTTTTTCGGGATTCACTTCAATTCTCCATTGGCGGAACCATTCGCCTAAGCGATTGGCAGCTTTTTGGAGTTTTAAAGTGAGAATATTCCTATTGTACTCTGATACAAAGAGAGCCGTATCGTCGGCGAAGAGAGCGGTGTTGACCGCTGGATCTTTAGGGATGTCACTCGTAAAAAGTGTAAACAGAATTGGAGACAGGGCGGAGCCTTGTGGGACACCGGCCTTAGGAAAGCGTTTCGAAGAACGGGTTCCCTCCACTCGATAGCGAAAAGAGCGATTTGAAAGGAAGGCTCGGATGATGTGTACGAGCCTGTCCGGCACGTTTAGTTTATACAGCTTGTAGAGCAAGCCGTCGTGCCAGACCTTATCAAATGCCTTTGCGACATCAAAGAAGAGGGCTCCCGTGCCTCGAGATTTTCTCCTTGTCGGATGATGATTGAAGCCAGACAGAATATATTCTGTTAGGCGATGAATTTGGTTAGTACATGAATGTTTGGCTCTAAATCCAAACTGTTCGTCAGGGAGGAGTCTGTTAGTTTCCGTGAAGTGACGGAGGCGCTTGAGGATAGTGTGCTCATATAATTTACCTAAGGTGTTGAGTAGGCTGATAGGCCTGTAACTGGTGGGTCGGTTACGCGGTTTGCCCGGTTTATGGATTCCTATTACGTCTGCTTCTTTCCAGATATCCGGGAAAGAGCAGCTCGAGAGAAGCGCGTTGAAAATTCCTACGAGGAGGTAAATTAACGGTGCCGGAAGAGATTTGATCACCTTGTTACTGATGCCGTCTGGCCCAGGGGCTGATCTAATCTTAAGGCTTTTTATGGTCTTAGTGACTTCTTCGAAAGTCACGGGATCGAGTGGATCGCCCGCTGGCGGAAACGCAGCCCTACGTTCGATTTCCGCTTCTACCTCTAGCAGGTGAGCGGGATCTGTTGGTACGCTGGATGGGGTACACTGGCTCTCTAGACTGTCGGCTAGGCATTCGGCTTTTTCGAGATCGTCTAAGGCGAGATCGGGGTGGTCGAGCCTCACGAGAGGCGGCATGGGAGCAATTTGCTCTGCTTTTATGGCTTTAGTCAGCCTCCAAAAGGCATCTTGAGATGGTTCTAATCCCTCTAAGAGGTTATCCCATTTATCATTTCTAAATTCTACAACGCGTTGTTTAATCTCGTTTTGCAGAGAACGTAGCCGGATTTTGTTATCTTCCGTGCGATAACGGTCATATGCTTTTAGCGCGGAGTTTTTCGCTCTAATCAGCCGTCGAACGTCTGCCGGAAGCTTTGTGTACCGATCGCTCGACACACGAACCTTACGGGAGCACTCTTCGACCGCTGATGTGAGGTGAGTCGATAGGGCGCTAATCGCCCTATTGGCTTCCTCCGGCGAGTCTATCTTGTCCGGTATTGAGTCTAAATGCTGGGAGTTCGTAGACTCAAGTTTGACCTTGAGCTTACGCCAGTCGACGATGGTTTTGGTCTGAGGGACCTCACCAGCCGACCGGCCCAGTTCTAATACGATCGGCCTATGGTCCGAGCATAGTTCGATGAAAGTTTCGATCGAGTTAATGTTAAGCCGGATGTCTTTTAAAATAGCTACGTCAAGGACGTCCGGTTGGTGACTAGTTATAAATGGGTAGTGAGTTGGGCTCTCAGGAGCGATAACGTCGAAGTTAAGTCTCTCCGTGAGGCCGCATAATATGTTTCCGTTTGGATTGTTTAGGTTAGAGTTCCAACTAACGTGCTTACTGTTTAGGTCACCCGCGATTACTACGCTGGGGCCTAGATTTAGTAGTGCCGAGATGTCGGCTTCTAATAAGGGTTTTTGCGGTGGCTGATATGCCGAGGCAATTATGACGGGCGGATGGCCCGTAAGTGCTATTCTACATACCGATGCTTCTAAGTTAGCAAGCGGTGGAGTGTCTAACGGTATACAGTGCAAGGACCTTTTGTAGTAGATCAAGGTGCCGCCTTTAGGTCCGGTCAGCCTATCATTTCTTACTAAGGTATAATTAGCTATTTTGGGATCGCGCACGCTAGGTTTCAAGAAGGTCTCCTGCACTAGCATGATGTCGACATCATGATCGCGTAAAAAGTACACGATTTCTTCCTTTTGATCTCTGATGCCGTTTGCGTTAAAGAACGCGACAGTCAGTGAGCTAGGTTTGGTTCTGCCTGTATGTTGTACTGCCATTTTGTTTTAGAGAGATTATTATTTAAGCGCATTGGAATGAACCGATCGCGTCGATGAGATTGATATGCTCAATGGTGGCATTGAGCTTATCTTGAGCGGATTTGGCCTCGCGTAGTTTACGGGCCAGGGAAGACACTTCGGCAACATTAATATTGTTGAAGAAGCTGCAGACTAACGAGAAGTCAGCAGCGAAGGTAGAAGATGCCTGAGGGGCAAGTTTGGGCTTTTGAGCCTGGAGAGAGGGCGCTGGCCGTGAGGCGGCCGCGCTAACAATCGCCGGGGGCTTAACCCATGCGTTCGACGCGGGTGCTGAAGGCACCGATGAGCTTACACCTTGCCCGGAAGACCCTTTAGCGGGGGCGGGTTTGGTGTGAGGCTGAGGGGGCGCGGGTTGAGACACCGAGATCGGTGCTAATGATGGGGCATGTTGCCTAGGACGGGACCTACTAGCGCTAGCCGCTCGTCCGCGCCGGTTTGCGCCTCCGCGCCACTTTCTACGCGGCGCTTTGGTACACCCGCGATAGTTCGCTGGGTGTCCCGCTTCGCCGCACAGAACGCAGCTCGGAGGGCCTTCCGACTCGGGCGTTCGGGTGCACTCGGGTGTGCCGTGGTCACCTAGACACTTAACGCATCTAGGTTTCGCATAGCAATTTTTGGCCGAGTGGCCATACAGTTGGCATCGGTGGCATTGACCAACGATGCCCCTATTACGGGGGGCCTCTACCGTAATCCCAGTGAGATTACAGATTCGGCGAATATTGTAAATTTCTTTCCCTTCCGGGGACAGGTCTAAGATAACTAGACAAAGGTCTAGGTATCTTTTTTTGTCGGTGGGGTGGTGCATTCTGTGCACTTCCCTAACCGGGAGATTCTGCGATTTAAGATCGCTTAAAATGTGCTCGGTTTCGAGCTCCTTAGGGAGCCCGCGAACGACTACGCGGAGGTTGCGTTCTTCCGCAAGGGCGTAAGTATGGAAGCTCAGTTTCTGAGCTTTAAGATGCGCAGTTAAAGCGCGGAAGTCATCAGTCGTTGAGACGTGGATGCGTATGCCCTGGCCACCATTGTGGACCTTTGGGCAGAAGATTTTTTTGGAGTCAATCCAATGCGAAAGGTTGCTCCATCGGGATTTATCCTGAAGGATGATCGGGGGCGGCGGTTTTTCCTTGCGCACCGCGGCGGGTTCAGAGTTCGCGATTTTGGCGATTTTAGGGCGCGCTGAAGGCGCGGTCTTTTTAGCCGGAGTGGCGTTAGGTGACGACGACGGGGACGAAGGGGCCGAGTGAGGCTCGGCGCCCTTTTTCGCGGCGGGACGTTTACGTTTTTTGCCCGAGACTACGGTGAAGCCTTCGTCATCGGGCATGGCGGGTTTCGCGACGTCGAACTCCATTTCGGAGCCCGTCTCGGCGTCCGAGAACGCCGGGGACGGCCCCCGAGTGGAGAGCGCAGAAGGCGCGGGGGATCCTACGTCATAAAGCGTTTCTACGGACGCGGGGGTCGCGGGTCCGGTGCTGGGCGACATAGGGTCGTCCACCAACACGGTCGGACGTTCAGCAGCGGGCGTTTGGCGTTGCGCTAGAAAGGTCGCCCAAACGTCGGGGCACGCACGACTGAAAAAGTCGGCGAGTTCGGCTATGGTTATAGCCGCCATCTTGTCTTGTTTTTAAGAAAACACTTGTGTACCAAGCTCCCCCACCTCACGGCGGGGGAGGTGTGTGCTTAAACGAACACCTATATACCTAACGCGTTGGTACGTTAGGGTGTGTACCTAGCTGTCGCCTAATGCGACAAGCGAACACAGAGATTAATACAATAACAATATAATAGCCGCCTCTGAGGCGGCACGGCGGTATGTAATAAACTACTTACAGTTTTTACTGGAAATTGGCAGAGCGTGGGGCACTACACTAATCCCTAACACAATAGAACAATGGGCCGGCGGGCCGATGCAACCTGACGGCGGCAATGACGCACAACACCACTGAAGCACTTCGAGCACTTAATCCTTTTATTGTCTTTTTTTTCGCACAATTGCAACTTAGTAATTCGGGAGCGCATGGGCTCGACCGAAGAATACGTCCGCGCGGCTTGAGCGCAGACAACCGAATCTCACTAATTTTTTTTAAACTCGCGACGTTCCTTTATATAGCCAGCATCGATTCGCCACTAGGTGGGGTGGGGATCGCGAACGCAACACGTTTGCGCGGTCGGTCCGGTCAGACTTTTAGTTAGTTGGAAAATCTCAAGTCAGAGTTGGGAGTTGGGAGTTGGGAGTTGGGAGTCGGGCAGTCGGGCGAGGGCGAAACGAATGTACTTGTAAAGAAGAAAAAAAAGAAGAATACTAGGTAGCAGCAATAGGATATAACGCGTTAGAATAGAATAGTATAATATATCGTCGTCGAAGAGGAAGAAAAACGAAAAACTGTAACAAGAAAATTAGGGAGTGTGAAAGTGATAATATTATTTATATACATAATATTATACGTGTTACGTTCGTGTAGGGTCTCGTCGCGTCGCGTCGCGTCACGTCGCGTCGCGTCGCGTCGCGTCGGTCGGTCGGTCGGTCGGTCGGTCGGTCGGTTCGGTTCGATTCGATTCGGTTGTGTTATCTATTTTACCTAGGCACCTATTAAAATTTTTTTAAAAGTGTGAACGTAGTACGTTGAATTCGTTGAGTAGGTGGTGTGTGTATATATATATATATATATATATATATATATATATATATATATATATATATATATATAGAGGTATTTAGTGTTTCGTAAATTGTTGTAACGCATTTACGACGCATCTACGTTTATTGTTTTAATATACGTGTATTTAGCTTATTCGAATTTATATACCTACTTAGTTAAATCGTTATCGTGCGTTCATAAGTTGTGCGTTCGTTATTTCGTTGCAATGTTTACATAATTACATAATATTTTATATTATATTATATAGAACTGCCTGACAGACTGATTTGATTGAAGTGAGGGACGGTGCGATATATATAATATAGGTAGGTAATATATATAATAAGGCAATCATTATGATTGACGCGTGACGTATAAGAAACTCATAGGAAATTTTTGTTAGCCCTGAAAAGGGCTTTTTAGCATTGCGGTCGCTCGCGCATATTCGTATACGACGCGACACACGTACACCATTTATTTTTATAGGTATTATTTATAAGAATAAAATAAAAATAAATAGGCCCGATGCCGCGGCGCTACGAGGCACTCGCGTTCACCCGCGAGGATCCTTCTCCCGTCCCGTCCGTCCCGTCTTGCTGTCACTCTGCCTGCCTGCTTGCCTTCCTACCTACCTACCTACCTACCTACCTACCTACCTACCTGTCTCTCAGCAGCATCAGCCTGCATGCACTACACAATCACATACGCGCGTGACAATTACGCGTACGAGTACGTACGTAGGTAGGTACGGCGGCGGTGGTTATGACGACGGAAGGCGGTGACAGCGGACCTTACTTTTTAGAAGCGGCTGCCTTCTTCGATGCCGCCGCGGAAGGCTTCGATTTGGGTGTTGCCGCCTTCTTCGGTTTTGGAGCCTTAGGTTTCTTTGTCGGTGGTTTGGCGCTCTTTTTCGCCTTCGAAGCGGCGCCTTTCGCCTTAGAAACGCCGCTTTGGCCAGCGGTTGCGGATTTTCTTGCGGCTGCCGGCTTCTTTTTCGCGGCGGCCGCCTTCTTGTCCTTGGTAGCTGCAGACGGTTTTGCCTTAGACGGTGATGATGCGGTCGCTGCCGATGCTGTCTTTTTACCCTTACCCGCGGCGGTGCTCTTCTTCACCTTCGCCGACACCGAGCTAGCGGCGGACACGCCGCTCTTTGCGCCACCGCTGCTCTTACCCGTCGACGGTTTCTTAGAGGCGGACGATTTTGATTCAAGCTTAAAGGAACCGGAAGCCCCCTTGCCCTTTGTCTGTATAAGCGCACCCGATTCGACTGCGCTCTTCAGGTACTTTCTGATGAACGGAGCTAGTTTTTCAGCGTCGACTTTATATTGAGCGGCAATATATTTTTTTATCGCTTGCAAAGATGATCCACTGCGCTCTTTCAGCTCTTTAATTGCGCTGGTGACCATTTCGGAAGTCTTCGGATGAGTGGGTTTCGCCTTGGGCTTCTTTGCACCACCTGCTGCAGTAGCGGCGGCCTTCGGTTTTTTCGCCGGAGTCGCCGGAGCGGGAGTTTCGGAAGCTACTGCTGTATCTGCCATTACTTCGTAGTAGTAGTATTAGATCACAAACGAACTACAAACACTGACTCACACAACTCGCGATAGATGATAATAACAAAGGAAAATTGTAAATTGTTGTTATATATCGTACACAAATTGATATTACGTAGGATAATACACAGGTGGCGACAGTGGTGGTTCATCTCCTTGTGGAGGTTTTCATGTGTCGAGGAGACCCTCTTTACATGGGCGGCATCTCAGGAGGACACGACCCCCCGGTCCTGGGTGCTGCGTTGGCAGCTTATATGTAGGTGTATTGCGCACCTCGCGCCATCACGTCGAGTGTCGGGACGCTCATTCACCCCCGGCGTCCCCTGTGCCGGGCAGTGAGCGTAGAAGTTCACGTGGGAGTGGTCGCCCGTCAGGTGGGCGGGCGTGGAGGGGAGCAAGATTTTGAAGGTGTAGGTGTGGCCCGTTGTCTGCGCGGTCGAACAACCGTCTCGCAGAACGGACCACAAAATCGTGGATGGTTTCGACCTTGAGGTCGCGAGAAATGATGTCATTCCTGACGTAGCGACCGGCTCCCACGATCACCCGGAGCGCAAGATTTTGCTGGGCCTGCAATCTCTTGCGCTGAGTGGCCGAGGTCAACGCGTACCAGGCTGGTGCTGCGTAGGTCAGCCGCGAGCGGATGTAGGTTTTGTAGATACCTATTTTCGTTCTTGTTGGGAGTTTGGATGCCAGTATAGGGTATAGTTTCGCTCGCGCAGCTCTGGCCTGTCTCACAACGTGATTGACCATCGGGGTCATGCGCAGCGAGCGATCTATCTGGCATCCTAGGTACGTAATGGTACTACTCCAACCCACATCCTGCCCGCGGAGTTGCAGGGTTGGTGGTGTTCTGGCCAGCCTGGTCATGAAGGCGACGGTCTTCCCGACGTTGACCGCCAGCCTCCATTTGTCCAGCCACTCAGGCAAGAGGTCGAGTACCCGCTGCAATTTCTTAGCAGCTATGTCCACCCGACGTGATGACGCGAAGTACGCACTGTCGTCGGCGTACAAGGCTAGGACAACGTCATCCTCCCATTCCTCCAGATGGCCTTGGAGGGTGGGGATGTCGTTGGTGTAGACCGCGTACAGGTGCGGTGATAGGCAGCTGCCCTGTGGCACTCCCGCAGAAATCGGTCGTGCCGCCGAAACAGCCCCTTCCAAGGAGACATGGAAGCTCCGCCCTTCCAGGAATGACGCTATTAACCGCACAAGCATGGGCGGTAAAGTGGTGTGCTGAATGAGTTTATAAACTAGCCCTGCGTGCCACACCCTGTCGAAGGCCTTCTCCATGTCGAGAAGGACCCCCACACAGATGCGGCCGAAGTTATATTCGGCCGCAAGATAGTGCAGCACGCGGGCCAGCTGAGATGTTGTGGAATGTCCCCTGCGGAAGCCAAATTGCTCCTCACGCAGGGTAACATGTGGGAGAACCCTGTTCAGGGTGATTTTTTCAAAAAGTTTTGCTATGTGCGGCAATAGCGTTATGGGGCGGTAGCTGGCCGGGAACCTCCTATCTTTTCCCGGCTTCGGCAGCACGATGATTCTGCCCTGCTTCCATATGGTCGGGAAGTGGCCAGTCCGCAGGATGCCATTATACAGACTGGTGAGTGCCACTATTACCCTTCTGGGCAGCTGCTTTATGGCAATGGTGGTAATGCCGTCGTAACCCGGCGCTTTACGGCTAGGTAGGCGCATAATAGTGCGCCTTACCTCTGTTGGAGATATGAAATCGCCGCCTCGCAATGGCGGCGCCGGGTTAGAGAGGTATTCCCGTACGCGGTCCTCTATGCCTTGTACGTGGTCTGCGTACCCCTCTGCTATGCTGTTGGGTATGAACTGTTGTTCTAGGTGCTGTGCCATCAAGTCCGCTCTAGGTTGGGCGTCGTAAATCCTACTCCCCGTGCTGTCCACCAGTGGGCAGACAGGTGGTGGTGTCTTGGTGAGCTGCCGGTTGAGGAGATGCAGGGAGGCGGGTGTCTCCGAGGCTTCGTCAACTCGCCTCTCCCATGCTTCTCCCCTGTAAGCTCTCATTGCTTCCGACAGCTCTTCCGTCATAGCGTTTAGTTTAGTTTTTAAACGTGGGCATCGTGTCCGTGCCCAGAGTCTCCTCATCTTCCGCTTCTCGGACAGGAGCGTTTGGAGATTTCGTGGGAGTCCCTCCTTCCCGCGCCCCGTGGAGACAGGGTGAGAGTGGAGTTGGAGTTTATCTTTTATAGTGTTGTGAAGATGTAGGGCCGCAGTCTCCACATCTTCACTGGTGGTAATTGGGGCGCAAGGTTGGAAGTCCTCCAGCGCACTACGAAAACGGGTCCAATTTGTCTTCATTCGGAGACTTCTGGGCACCATGGCATCCGCACTGGTGTCGATAGTAATCAGCACGGGGAGGTGTTGTGTATCTATGTCATACAACACTTCTAACCGTGTTGTATACGGCACTAGATGACACAGCACAATGTCAAGAACATCGGGCTTATGTTCTGGCTTTGTCGGGATATGGGTGGGCTCATCAGGGCCCAGCACCTCGTACCCCCACTCCTCGGCGTCGTCGAACAGTTTCCTGCCGGGTGGTGTGATCAGCGCGGAGCCCCAAGCGGGATGTTTCGCGTTGAGGTCTCCGGCGATAATTGCAGGTGTCGTGGAGTCAAATATGGTACGTATGTCTTGGGGGGCAAGTGAGGTGCCGGGAGGTCTGTAGGCAGCAAAGATTCTAATTTCTCTGGTGCCTACCCTCAGCCTTACACCCTTGGTTCTGGTGGATATAAACTGTGTATTGGTGCCAACTTCTTCGTGCATGACGTCCCTCCTCACAAGGACCGCAGTACCTCTGTACGCGATACCTTCTGAGGAGATCTCGTCATGTCGGTACACAAAGAAGTTGGGGAGTTTTAATTGAGCAGAGGGGCGCAGTTTGGTCTCCCCCAGCAGCACAATTTGGATATTGTGCTGCTGGACCAGGGTTCTCAGGTCGGCGACCTTCCCTAAGATGCCGCCGGGGTTCCAATAACACATCCTAAGTGGATGGCCTGCTGACGGAGGTTAACTGGGCTAAGGCCGTTAGGATGGCCGAAAGGGGGTTGGTGCCGGTGGTCATGGCAGTCAGGACCTCTCCTAAGATCCTGATTACCACGCCCACCAGTTGAGCGAGGGCCTCCTCGATGGTGGTTGGTGCCTGGGGCTGTAATGGGGGAGCGACAGTTATTGTCTTTTTGGGTGGGCGTTGATCTCGGGGTTGGAGTGCAGAATGCTCGTTCTGATTGGATGGAGGGAATGTATACCGCGGTTGTGGCAGTGATTGCTGTTGTTGTGTGGTAGTGACGAGTGGAGGAAGAGGAGTCGAAGTACCACCCACTTGAGCTGGTTGGGTGGTTGCCTTCTTCTTCTTCTTCTTCTTTCCTCTCTTTTTCTTTGGGCGCTCTGTGTGCTCCGTGGCGTTATTCGCCGGTGGTGCTAAAGTCGCCCCGGTCGTAACAAATGTGGTTGGTGCAGGTGTGATTGTTACCTGCCGCTGTTGCGGTTGCGGTTCCTGCCTTTGCAGGTGTTGCTGCTGTGAATATTGCTGCTGTTGGGGTGGGTAGTACTGAGGTTTTTGAGGTGGTGGAGGTTGCCAATGCGGTGCAGGTGGTTGGCTTTGTAGTGGGGGTGGTTGACGTTGCGGTGCTCGTGTTGTTTGCGCGGGGATAGGGGGTTGCATATTAATCCCCCTCTTCCTTGCAATTCGCTGCAACACTGGGCACCGCCTGTCATTCGCCGAGTGATCTTTCCCGCAGTTTGCGCATTTAGGTTGCGCATCCCGCGGTTGTGGGCATGCTGAGGCCAGGTGGTCACCTGCACAGCGTACACATTTGAAGGGTCGGTAGCAGTTGTAGGATGCGTGTCCGAACCCTTGACACCTGTGACACTGCGCAGGGCCAATTCTGCCTGTCCAGCCTTCGATTGTTATTCCCGGCATGTAAAGGAGCTCATCAATTTGGTATAATCTGTTGAGCTCTTCGGGGCTTAGGTGACTCATTTTCACGTGAAACAGGCAGCCGGGCCTGCCTCTTTTTGGTGGAATTGACCGTACAAATGTAACTGGAAAACCCTTCTCTATGAGGGCCTCCTGTATGTCTTTAGGGTCTGTATCGGCAGGGAGCCCTCTTAACCCCACCTTCGTGGGTTGCTCCTCCTGTGGGGCGTAGCAATACCACACGAAGGTGGCATCCTCCTTGCTTTTATCGATGAGGTAGCGCTGGACCTTCCGATACTCGGCGTCGGACTGGGGCCGAAAACGGACTCCCTTCCCAAACGGGCGAGCATTGGGGGCGTGACCCAAAAGTTGATGTATGATTTTGAAGTGCTTCGCCCAGTTGGGGAAGCACTCCACTATAATAGGAGGGTATTTGGCCTGGTTATTTACTGGCTGTTGTTCTTTCTGTGCAGGTGGTGGTGGAGGTGATGATGGCGCTGACCTCGGCGCTGCTGCAATTTGCGCATAAGAGTCTGGCGCTGAAGATGGACCAGGTATGGGCTCCTGGTTTACAGGTTGGGAGTCTTGAATTGGGGCTAGAGTGGCGTAGGACGTATTGTCCCACTCTCTCTCTCCTTCCGGGTCTTCCTCACCGAAATCCTGCATGTCAGCGGTGCAGGCCGGAGAGGTGGTTGGAGACGGTGAGTTAGGCGGTCTGTTATGTCTTACCACAGGTTGTGGGGCTTGTATCTCAGGTGGTGTGGCAGAGGCAGAAGGCGATGCCGAATCAGATAGTGAGTCTGATCCGGCTCTCAGCCTTTTCTCCTCTTGCAGCTGGTCTTGTTCTATCTCGGGAGGTGTACGTCTCCGCGAGGCTAGGCTCCGGCGTGGTAATGGAGCCAGTTCTGCGCTCGGTGAAGACACAGCTTCACCTGCGCCGAGCGCGGCGCCGGGCGCCGGTATACTGCCTATTCGCCTCGGGAGTTGGCTGTAAGGTGGGAGCACTCTAGATCTCTCAGGAGCGAAGAGGTCTCGCTCCATGAGGGGCCTGTCGAGTACTCCCTGACGCCTATCAGGTGGTTTACGGCGTGTTGGGGGAGGTTCCCCCTTGTCCGACATTACTAATTAATTATGCTCAGCCCTTAGCTATCACACACCTTACTCCCCTCAGCGCGTGCAACCACACCGGGTGAGACCCGTGAGGGAGGCCCAGCGAGGCGCCCGCGAGCAGGGAGGGGTGTGTGAGGCGCAGATGGGATGGGCGTAATCTCACTCAAATGCGGAACACTTGTAATCACTTTTTGTTATAAAAAGAGGGTACAGTGTACAAAAAGGTAAAACGTAAAGTAGGGCACAGCGTAAGTAGTGACCTTTACGCTTACCTTATTAACAGTCCGACGCAGGAAATGCGCCAGCGACGCCTCGACGCCAAACGGAGCGAACTCGACGTCGGCGGAGTCAATCACTAGCACAACACGTACACAACACAGGAGCGCACTAGACACGTCCGCACTGTAGCACGGCCCGCAACGAACTGCCAGGTGGCGACAGTGGTGGTTCATCTCCTTGTGGAGGTTTTCATGTGTCGAGGAGACCCTCTTTACATGGGCGGCATCTCAGGAGGACACGACCCCCCGGTCCTGGGTGCTGCGTTGGCAGCTTATATGTAGGTGTATTGCGCACCTCGCGCCATCACGTCGAGTGTCGGGACGCTCACTCACCCCCGGCGTCCCCTGTGCCGGGCAGTGAGCGTAGAAGTTCACGTGGGAGTGGTCGCCCGTCAGGTGGGCGGGCGTGGAGGGGAGCAAGATTTTGAAGGTGTAGGTGTGGCCCGTTGTCTGCGCGGTCGAACAACCGTCTCGCAGAACGGACCACAAAATCATGAATGGTTTCGACCTTGAGGTCGCGAGAAATGATGTCATTCCTGACGTAGCGACCGGCTCCCACGATCACCCGGAGCGCAAGATTTTGCTGGGCCTGCAACCTCTTGCGCTGAGTGGCCGAGGTCAACGCGTACCAGGCTGGTGCTGCGTAGGTCAGCCGCGAGCGGATGTAGGTTTTGTAGATACCTATTTTCGTTCTTGTTGGGAGTTTGGATGCCAGTATAGGGTATAGTTTCGCTCGCGCTGCTCTGGCCTGTCTCACAACGTGATTGACCATCGGGGTCATGCGCAGCGAGCGATCTATCTGGCATCCTAGGTACGTAATGGTACTACTCCAACCCACATCCTGCCCGCGGAGTTGCAGAGTTGGTGGTGTTCTGGCCAGCCTGGTCATGAAGGCGACGGTCTTCCCGACATTGACCGCCAGCCTCCATTTGTCCAGCCACTCAGGCAAGAGGTCGAGTACCCGCTGCAATTTCTTAGCAGCTATGTCCACCCGACGTGATGACGCGAAGTACGCACTGTCGTCGGCGTACAAGGCTAGGACAACGTCATCCTCCCATTCCTCCAGATGGCCTTGGAGGGTGGGGATGTCGTTGGTGTAGACCGCGTACAGGTGCGGTGATAGGCAGCTGCCCTGTGGCACTCCCGCAGAAATCGGTCGTGCCGCCGAAACAGCCCCTTCCAAGGAGACATGGAAGCTCCGCCCCTCCAGGAATGACGCTATTAACCGCACAAGCATGGGCGGTAAAGTGGTGTGCTGAATGAGTTTATAAACTAGCCCTGCGTGCCACACCCTGTCGAAGGCCTTCTCCATATCGAGAAGGACCCCCACACAGATGCGGCCGAAGTTATATTCGGCCGCAAGATAGTGCAGCACGCGGGCCAGCTGAGAGGTTGTAGAATGTCCCCTGCGGAAGCCAAATTGCTCCTCACGCAGGGTAACATGTGGGAGAACCCTGTTCAGGGTGATTTTTTCAAAAAGTTTTGCTATGTGCGGCAATAGCGTTATGGGGCGGTAGCTGGCCGGGAACCTCCTATCTTTTCCCGGCTTCGGCAGCACGATGATTCTGCCCTGCTTCCATATGGACGGGAAGTGGCCAGTCCGCAGGATGCCATTATACAGACTGGTGAGTGCCACTATTACCCTTCTGGGCAGCTGCTTTATGGCAATGGTGGTAATGCCGTCGTAACCCGGCGCTTTACGGCTAGGTAGGCGCATAATAGTGCGCCTTACCTCTGCTGGAGATATGAAATCGCCGCCTCGCAATGGCGGCGCCGGGTTAGAGAGGTATTCCCGTACGCGGTCCTCTATGCCTTGTACGTGGTCTGCGTACCCCTCTGCTATGCTGTTGGGTATGAACTGTTGTTCTAGGTGCTGTGCCATCAAGTCCGCTCTAGGTTGGGCGTCGTAAATCCTACTCCCCGTGCTGTCCACCAGTGGGCAGACAGGTGGTGGTGTCTTGGAGAGCTGCCGGTTGAGGAGATGCAGGGAGGCGGGTGTCTCCGAGGCTTCGTCGACTCGCCTCTCCCATGCTTCTCCCCTGTAAGCTCTCATTGCTTCCGACAGCTCTTCCGTCATAGCATTTAGTTTGGTTTTGATCCGTGGGCATCGTGTCCGTGCCCAGAGCCTCCTCATCTTCCGCTTCTCGGATAGAAGCGTTTGCAGATTGCGTGGGAGTCCCTCCTTCCCGCGCCCCGTGGCGACAGGGTGAGAGTGTAGTTGGAGTTGCTCTTTTATAGTGTTGTGAAGATGTAGGGCCGCAGTCTCTACATCTTCACTGGTGGTAATTGGGGCGCAAGGTTGGAAGTCCTCCAGCGCACTACAAAAGCGGGTCCAATTTGTCTTCATTCGGAGACTTCTGGGCACCATGGCATCCACACTGATGTCGATAGTAATCAGCACGGGGAGGTGTTGTGTATCTATGTCATACAACACTTCTAACCGTGTTGTATACGGCACTAGATGACACAGCACAATATCAAGAACATCGGGCTTATGTTCTGGCTTTGTCGGGATATGGGTGGGCTCATCAGGGCCCAGCACCTCGTACCCCCACTCCTCGGCGTCGTCGAACAGTTTCCTGCCGGGTGGTGTGATCAGCGCGGAGCCCCAAGCGGGATGTTTCGCGTTGAGGTCTCCGGCGATTATTGCGGGTGTCGTGGAGTCAAATATGGTACGTATGTCTTGGGGGGCAAATGAGGTGCCGGGAGGTCTGTAGGCAGCAAAGATTCTAATTTCTCTGGTGCCTACCTTCAGCCTTATACCCTTGGTTCTGGTGGATATAAATAGTGTATTGGTGCCAACTTCTTCGTGCATGACGTCCCTCCTCACAAGGACCGCAGTACCTCTGTACGCGATACCTTCTGAGGAGATCTCGTCATGTCGATACACGAAGAAGTTGGGGAGTTTTAATTGAGCAGAGGGGCGCAGTTTTGTCTCCCCCAGCAGCACAATTTGGATATTGTGCTGCTGGACCAGGGTTCTCAGGTCGGCGACCTTCCCTAAGATGCCGCCGGGGTTCCAGTAGACCATCCTAAGTTGATGGCCTGCTGACAGATGTTAGTTGGGCTAAGGCCGTTAAGATGGCCGAAAGGGGGTTGGTGCCGGTGGTCATGGCAGTCAGGACCTCTCCTAAGATCCTGATTACCACGCCCACCAGTTGAGCGAGGGCCTCCTCGATGGTGGTTGGTGCCTGGGGCTGTGATAGGGGTGTGACAGTTATTGTCCTTTTGGGTGGGCGTTGATCTCGGGGTTGGGGTGCAGATTGCTCGTTCTGATTTGATGGAGGGAAGGTATATCGCAGTTGTGGCAGTGGTAGTCGCTGTTCATTGGTGGTGTTGGGTGGAGGAAGAGGAGTTGAAGTACCACCCACTTGAGCTGTTTGGGTGGTTGCCTTCTTCTTCTTCTTCTTCTTGCCTCTTTTCCTCTTTGGGCGCTCTATGCGCTCCGTGGGATCATTCGCCGGTGGAGCTAATGTCGCCCCAGTCGTCGCGAATGTAGTAGGCGCTGGTGCTAATGTCACCTGCCGCTGCTGCGGTTGAGGCGCCTGGTGTTGTGGTTGCTGCTGTTTTTGCAGCTGTTGGGGTTGGGATTGTGTTTGTCTTTGGGGCAGTGGTGGTTGCCACTGTTGTGGAGGTGGTTGTTGCGGTGCTCGTGCTGGTTCGCGCTGCGGGGGCATGGGAGGCTGTATGTTGATGCCTCTTTTCCTCGCAATTCGCTGCAGCACTGGGCATCGCCTGTCGTTTGCGGCGTGATCCCTGCCGCAGTTGGCGCATTTGGGCTGTGTATCTCTCGGTTGTGGGCAAGCAGAGGCAAGATGGTCACCCGCACAGCGTACACATTTGAAGGGCCGGTAGCAGTTGTAAGATGCGTGTCCGAACCCTTGACACCTGTGACACTGCGCAGGGCCAATTCTGCCTGTCCAGCCTTCAATTGTAACTCCCGGCATGTAAAGGAGCTCATCAATTTTGTACAATCTGTTGAGCTCTTCAGGACTTAGGTGGTTCATCTTTACATGAAAGAGGCAGCCAGGCCTGCCTCTTTTTGGTGGTATTGATCGGACAAAAGTAACAGGGAAGCCCTTCTCTATGAGGGCCTCCTGTATGTCCTTAGGGTCCGTATCTGCAGGGAGCCCTCTTAACCCCACCTTCGTGGGTTGCTCCTCCTGTGGGGCGTAGCAATACCACACGAAGGTGGCATCCTCCTTGCTTTTATCGATGAGGTAGCGCTGGACCTTCCTATATTCGTTATCGGACTGGGGCCGAAAACGGACTCCCTTTCCAAATGGACGAGCATTAGGGGCGTGGCCCAGAAGTTGGTGTAAAATTTTGAAGTGCTTCGCCCAATCGGGGAAGCACTCCACTATAATTGGAGGGTATTTGGCCTGGTTATTTACTGGCTGTTGTGGTTTTTGTGCAGGTGGTGGTGGAGATGAAGGTGGCGCTGATCTTGGCGCTGCTGCAATTTGCGCATAGGAGTCCAGCGCTGAAGAAGGCCCAGGTATGGGCTCCTGGTTAGCAGGTTGGGAGTCTAGTATTGGGGCTAGAGTGGCGTAGGACGTATTGTCCCACTCTCTCTCCCCTTCCGGGTCTTCCTCACCGAAATCCTGCATGTCAGCGGTGCACGCCGGAGAAGTGGTTGGAGACGGTGAGTTTGGCGGAATGTTATGCCTTACCACAGATTGTGGGGCTTGTCTCTCGGGTGGGGTTACCGAGGAAGGAGGCGATGCCGAA